GGGGCAAAGCCTCCTAGTATATATATATATATATATCTTTCTTATACAGTTATAAGCTCACGTACTACAGTCAAGTATTGGCAAGAACATTCGGTTCTGAGACGTGATCGACTGTTAGTTACATAGTGGACTAAAATTCACAATTCGCATATATATATATTTCCTAATAATTTTAATTATACTTCCATTGGAATAATAAGTTCCGTTTCATTTTTAGAAATATGAAAAAGAATAGTAATAAAATACCTTCCAATAAATTATAATTTTCAGCACCTTGTGGAATCAATGTCACGGCGGGTGCTAGCAGTTTTGAGGGCTAAAGGTGGTCCTACATGTTATTAGCAAGGTGGTCATAATGTAGTGGCTCTTCGGTGTATGTTTTAATAATAATATGTGTACAACATCAAATGATGCAACAAATAATTTCTCTTTGAATCCATAAAATCCTGATGTTTAGGTGGCAATAATCGCAGCCGAGAATGCAGAGCCCAGAGGAAGGCCCGTAAAGATGTGCCACGAGCAAAAGGACTGTGATCCTGACCAATGCTGTGTAGAAAAAATGGGGGGTTACGGATTTTGCCGCACATTTAAAAGAGAAGGTGATGTATACTTTATTTTCAACATTTTAAATAATGATTTAATCTTTTTAAGGCTGCTGAGAAACAATAATTTTAGATAAATCAAACAGTTACTTGAAAAGCATAATATTGTTTTTTACAGAAAAAAAATGCAGTAGCGTAATGCAACAATAGCGTAATAGTGATTATGATTACAAGTAAAGAATTATTAGCCTAGTTCTATATTAGGTCTCTTTTTCTCGCGAGGAAAGATTTAAAAATTGCTTTTTTTAATTGATGAAAAATCACTGAAATACTAAGGGTTTTAACTTATAGTACTTCATTTTCTGGATGATTAATAAGCATGAATAAGTAAGTGTTATAAAGTCGTCTAATTTATTTTACCGAAGAGTTTCTTTATAAAATGACAAGTCATACATTAGTTAGAAAATGTATCTCTATAAAGTTTTCATTAAATTTTTCAAAATTAATTACTCAAAATTGTCGCAACATTAATGTTAAAAAAGACATAAGAAAACTATTATTGTGATGTTAAAAATAACAGTAAAACATATTTATTTACTTAATTCTCTTCAAAAAATTCTATTTTTAATATCAATAACCAATCAGTGATACGTCTCTATTTTTAGTTTCAATGAAACACCATACATTTCCTGATAAATTTTTATTTTAAACTTTTTCAACTGAATATTCATCATCCTTTATATTCCAAGCTTTCCAATCAATTTTCTGTTTACCAACTGTTTCAACAATTCATCGGCTAAACCTAAACCACATGTGAAGCGCCATTTTGCATCTTTGTTGCAAACAAATTTTTAAGGTAAATGGAAACATCCAAAAATTCGTTGTGTAAAAATGCCATTTTTAAGTTTGATGTGAAATTTTATTTAATATTTTTGATTAATATACATTTTGCTGTCGTCATCAAAATGAAACAGAAAAAGCAAACTTTTGGTTATTTTTTTAATCAATTTCAACTTAATAAAAACTAGACTTTGTGTTTTCACAAGCATTCCGTATTTGATCACTGTGTTAAAAAATATTATACCGAATTTTATTATTTTTGACAGTACTTTTGTCTGAACTATTAGGACCATAATTTCTAAATTGCAGCTAACCCATTCCCTAGTTCGAGGATCAATGATCAAAACACGTCTCAATACATATGTTTATGTGTTTATTCAGATAAATGTATGTTTATTCAGGTGTTATTGAGTTTGATTTCGAACTTCTATATATTTAGAACTATATTTTGAACTATTGTATGCTCTATTTAATCATTATATTTAAGGTTAGGCACTTGAAAGATAAAGATTGATTCTCACTCTGAAAAAAAAGATATAATCGAAACTACTAGAATATGGTAAAAATTGTCGTACTTCTAGTTCTGTGGAAACGCCAGAAATCTTCGTAATTTTTATTGAAGCGCTTTATTAGTGATTTTTAGTAAAATTAATAAAATATTGTTTTAGGGTATATGCATGCTGAAATTTCTAAAATGTGGTAACATTTGGTAATTTTACCATAGTACCTTAAAACATGGCACAAAAACCGTTTATTTTGGTAAATTATTGTATGTTTTCTGTATGTGTGTGTGGTAATAAGAACTATAATTTTGAAAACCAGAATTTCCGGTAAACCATTACAGTATGAACGGAAACCATTATCATATGAATGAATTACATATAGTATATTTTGGTTTTATTATCCATAATATGTTTTTTCACCAAAAACGTCTTTGCCCATACAGTGCAGTAGTTTTACCAGATTTGTTTTTCTCCGTGTCGTGCTTGAGTTTCTGATCATTGGATAAAACATTATTCAGGTATATTTTTTTGAGTGCACGTTACATAAACGGGATATATAAAATGTATATTAAATGGTAACGGATCAATAACGTACTTAAAATAATAAAAATATTGATTTTGTTAACATTTCAAACGTTATTTTCTAGTTTTTTGTTCGAGTTGGCATAAACTCTTTTCACTGTGCATCACAATCAAAGAATTTCCCTCTATTTTGTTATATTTGAGTATAGATATAGATATATATATATGTAAAGAAATTGAGAATTAACATCGACTGCCAGCTTCGTTTTTCAAATGCATGTATTTCAATAGATATTAAATGTTTAGATTTTTCAATCCTTTGTTTCATATTTTTCCGAATTTTACCTAAAAACAGGAGAAGATTGCAATAAGGGTGATCTTAATCTCAAAGGAAGATATATTCGACGATGTCCATGTGCTAAAGGTTTGAGATGTGTTCCCCATGTAATAGAACAAACTAATGTAAGTTTTTTCCTTTATATATACAGTTGCCATTTGCAAAAAAAATTGAATTAAAGAATTATACAATATATATCTATAATTTACCTTTCATTATTTAGATGTTTTAACAAAGAATAAAAAACAATTATTTAATTGTTATTTTAGAATACAAAACTGACGAATATTCATAAAAACGATAGTATTGAAAGTGTTAACTGTAGGAAGAACTTGTTTATTGTCTACTTTCGCCTAATACGATTAAGCATCTACACTTTTATCTGCCCGAACTAGACTGACCTAATGAAGCTATTTAGATCCTTGTAGCTGGGTACATACTATAACCAAGGGAGCTACTAATCTGTCATTCTCATGGTCTGTTTAACGGGAATTCAATGGCATCGCCCTATTTCGACCATTCCTTCAACACATGAAGAGTTTTCAGTGTCTTGTACTGTCTAATTGCTGACCCTGGACTATTAGTCCAGGTTCTCCTATTAGAGAGTCAAAACTCTTCTTCAGGTATAAATGGCAGCACCACTTACCTGCTCAATACCAAAAAAGACTAGTATTTCCCAATGCTCACGATAGATGACATCACCTAATAAATTAATTAAGTCACATTCCACGATTCATTTGAAAAAACACAACCTAATTCTAATGTTTAGGGGGAGTTCATTTGTACGGTTTTGAATTACGGTTTTCCACGATTCATTTGAAAAAACACAACCTAATTCTAAAGTTTAGGGGGAGTTCTTTTTCGCGGTTTTGAAACCACGCTAATTATAAATGGCAGCAAAACTGCATATCTTTAAATTCACGTTTTTTTAAACCAAAACAGTTGAAAACGGTTACAAACCGTAAAGGTACAAATTGCTCCTAATAGTTAACTTTACTGTTAATAAAATGGACAGACTGCCGTCTGTAATTTTAATGTAATTTTAGAATGAAAATGTTAACAATTTTCTTAAGGGTATTGTGTCAATTCTTTGAAAGAAGTAAGAATATACGAATCCAAGAGCCGGGTGTATTTATATTGACAATAACGTCTTTGTGAAAAGCAGTAATACTTTATTTAAGAAGTAATTTTAGTTTATTTAAAAAGATTTATTATTTATCTGTCAATATTTAAAGAAAAAAAATATACAGATATAATGAAAATCGGTAAAGTAAACAAGAAAATTACTTCAAAAATGTTTCCTTAAAAATTTTTCTTTAAAAGAATACTAAAAATTCTTAACAGGTTCAGATGCAATACAAGATGGGAAAAAAATATTTGAGATCCAAAATAAGAGTTAGAATCTCTCTAAAATATTTGCGGAATGCAGATTACTTAAATTATATTATTTAACCTATATTATCTAACCAGTTAGAATGACAATACATCATCAATAGAGTGCTTGTATTCTTAATAATCGATGTGTTATATTTTGTTGACCTGTGCCTGCTGCCTTCTCATTATTGGAAAGAATTAGCAATTAGGGGACGGTGTTTTCTAGTAATTTAAAACGAGAACAACGTAGCTGAAAAGACAAGAAATCTCCTGGTCAGTTTTTTGTTTCTAATGCTCTTTGCAAATAAAATAGGCGTCTCTAGTCAGCGAGATTTTCACATTGAAATTCTTGCTTTTTCCCCACGGCAATACGTTTCAGTAAGAAACATGATTATACTGGCATGGGAAAAAAAGCAAGTTTTGCCGGTGTCATGGTAATGGGGAAAGAAAAAGCGTGGAGTTTGGAGAAATTGGGTAACTTTGAAGAGTATATTCTATGTACAAAGAGTATACTCAGTGCTAACTGATTTTTTTTTAATAAATTTGAGAAAAGTGTGTAATGCATGTTATTAGTTTTAAAGATAATCTTAATGTTTGCAGGAAGGTGAAGTAAGAAAATATTACAAATGTGTAGCAGATGACAACACCTTCTACAGAACCTGAAGTTACATCTGAAGTTGTATAAGGAGGAAGACCAAGCATTAATTGTTGCACCAGAAGTCGTTAATAGCTACATAAAAATACGAAGAGATTTAATTTAAAATATTTGTAACTGTTATTTCTAAAATAAAGCATTACAAAAAGAAATGCTCTGTTGTTCCATTATTCCAATTATTAAAAATGAAAGAAAAAAATAGTTTAAATGAGTTTAAGCAAAGTGTTGTTTCCCCGAAAACGCATTTTTTTTAAGTAGTAGATAAAATTGGATTTATTATACCGGCACAAGTTCATGCGTGTAACTGAACATGCGTGTAACACAAGTAATAATCCGCCACTTTTCTTTAAACTTACTATTATTATGATTAGTCCCAAATTCAAAATTTATCTATCATCACATTTAAAATTTACTTGTCCCCAAATTTTGCAAATTTTTCTTAAACTTCATATTTTATTTGAAAATATTCAATAATTTATAAAATTTAGAATTCTAATATAATTTATAAAATTCATAAAAATTAGAATTCTAAATCTCGCATTTAAGTTTAAAATATTTTCTAGATAAGGAAAGTATGAATTAAAATACTTCATAATTCATTAATATATTGTGATTAACTTATTAAGTGACCTAATGTCTCTTTGGAGCATGTATAAATTTTTAAATAGTAAATCAATTTTATTCTAAAAAAACTATGTTCAACTGTAATTTGGTATTCAAAATATTAATAGTAATATTTGCTTAGTATTACAAACATCACAAAAAGAAACTTCAAAATATTTTATATCTTTTTAATTTTAAAAAGTGAGATAACTTTAATAAATGATATAGTTTTGATGATGTAACTTGTAAAAAACTGGCAAAAGGGCTAAATATTAAATGTTTTTTGATTAAGTAATTTAGATACCGAGCAACTTTTAATCTTTGATAATCCGGTCTTGTTAAGGCAAATCATCTTATTATTCTTAACAACGTACTAATATGAAAACTGAACGAATTGCCATATTATGCCTTGATTAAGTAAGTGACCTTACTGTTTGAACTCAAAAATATTTGAAAATTTGTGACTTTAAACATGTGCATAGACAATTAAATAAATATAATGCCATTAAAACAACAATATTTTGTTTCCAGTCAAAATTGTCTTAACTTTTAGTCTCTGACAATTGAGGAGTTAAAAAATAAATATTTAATTACACTGCGAAAAGTGATAACGAAATTAAAATGCATTACTTATCCAAATTATAAAGTATATATTTTGAAGACTAAAAAGGTTGATCATAAATAAGTAAATCATTGATAATAGGACATAAAAATTCTTAAAATTATTATGTAAAAACATTAAAAATACACGCTGGTAAAAGGAAAAAGAAGAAAGAATTATCGAGAAAAATATCAAACAGCAGCGGTCGGCATAGCAACGCATGCAATGGCGACGCATGCACACTGTTTACTATTACTCTTGAACATAGTTGAAAAGTGTGATGACGTCCAAATAAGGTGCGCATGCCATCAAACCCAAAACAGCACCCATTTTGCCAATGGGTAGTAAAATTTAAATAAATTTTTTTGTTTACATTTAATTTTTAAAATGTAACCAAAATATTAAGTGTCTGAATATTTTAATGTATTGAAATTATGCGTAATTTTAACTTTAATTCATTTCTGACACCTGCACCGGTTTTTAAAATTTCATTTATTAAGCAAAAATTTTCTGATTATTAATCTTGTTTCGTCTGTTATTTCAAGATAAACATCTTTGTTCCATAATTGCTTTAAATTTTTTTTGTCGAAGTTATTGATTTTAAAGGAAGTTTTTAAAATAACCTTTATCAATTGCATTATTTGTGGTAGAAAGGGGGCACTTTTGAACAAACTTTTGGGACATCCGCAATTTTCATTTTTAAATTTTGCATAGTTTCATTAAATTGAGTGTGAAAAATTATGTTAAACTGCTATTTTGTGTTCAGAATATTAATAGTAATATATGCTTAGTATAGCAGCAATCGCATAGAAAAAAAAGCTTTCAAAATACTCTGATAAATCCTCGTTGTCATAAAAAATAAGACATACACTTTTTTCAACTCACAAAACTAAAATTGAAAGTTTCATGAATGAATTTAGAATTTATTAAACTTTTAAGACATGCCTAGTGGGTACAAGTCCAATGTTTTTGTCCATATTTTCTTCATTAACTTTGTATTTGTGAATATACAGAGGTGACCTATCACGTACAGTTGTTTACTTATATTAAGAACAATTCTTATAATTTAGAAAAAAGTGAATAATATCTAACAAAACGCAAATTTCAGGCAAATATTCATCCCACAATATAGGCAAATCAATCTTAGTTGTAAGCTTGAAACTTTATATTCATAAACTTAGATTGAAGGTTTATAAATAATGTAGCCCTAGCTAAATCTGTAACACTCAAGAGAATAGCTGAACTTGCTTTAGATTAATAATTCTGTACTGATTCCTATATCGAAATAATAATAAATGTTTAAGACTAAAATTTAATAGTTTCAGNTTATGGAATAATAGTTTTGTTAATTTTTTTGTAATTATTTATATTCATAGTATATATTTCAATTTTAGGAATAATTTTGTATCAAAAATGTGTTTTTGTCCTCTCATCTTGGAAAATATAGGTTTTTGCCACTTTTTGCCACTTTGGTTGGCAAAAACCTGTTTTTGCCAGGACGGTTTTTACCGGTATTTACCATGGCTTTTTCCACCTGCGGCAAAATCTTGCCAACCCTGGTACAGTTGTTTACTTCTATTAAGAACAATTCTTATAATTTAGAAAAAAGTGTATAATAATTAACAAAACGCAAATTTCAGGTAAATATTCATCCTACAGTATAGGCAAATCAATCTTAGTTGTAAGCTTGTAACTTTATATTCATAAATTTAGATTGAAGATTTATAAATAATGTAGCCCTAGCTAAGTCTGTAACACTCAAGAGAATAGCTGAACTTGCTTTAGATGAGCAATTCTGTGCTGATTCCTATATCGAAATAATATTTAATGTTTAAGACTAAAATTTAATAGGTTCAAAAGTTTCTTTCCTTTTCTTTTTTGATATATATTTTCAAATTTTGTCACAAGGTTTCTATTATACATATCTAGTTTTCAATACAGCAATTGCCGACCGGCCTGTGTAGGGGGCAGGGAACTGTCCTTGCATCAGAAAGGTCCTGGGTTCGAATCCCGGGCAATGCATGGATGTTTCTTTCTCTCTCTGTGTGTTCGATGTCCTGTGTGAATGTGATCGTCCTATAAACGGGATTGTGGTTGTGTGAATGGTGTGGCAGAAGTCGAATTCTTGGCCATAAATGGTGCCACTGAAAAGCAAGAACAATCGCACCCCCTCTGCCTAAACAGGCATACAACAAAAAATAAAAAAAATACAGCAATTGAATATTACAAATTAAGCAAATTGAGTTATAGATTTGTACATAAAATTGGATTTGTTTTTCAACTATTTACAAATTGCTTTAATTAACAAAGATTTAAGATATCATTTAATACTTTATACGCTTTATATAACTAAACGTTTTTTGTTAGATTTTGTGACTAAACTGCGAGAATTGCTGGATTTGTTTTACCACAATTCTTAGGCATTCATTGTTTTCTTTAATATTTTCTGTTTGGAATGAAAATACTTTTCTTGGTTTTGAACCAAATAAGAAGAAAAAAAGATAAAGATAAAAAAAAGATTTATATATTCTTTTTTTTCCAACGGATTGGCAGCCCTGGGTGGTTTTTGGTTTTCTCAAACAGTTTCCGCCGGGATAATTTTTCGTTGACAACAGTCCTTCAGTTTTTCGATCTTTAAAAGGGACAGGTCATTATAAAGCTGTCCAACGCATCCAAGCCAAGATCTGCTTCTAGGGAAAGTACCCGCAGGTTTCGCTAAAAATATTTGTAATACTGTCGTTCTTCATACTTGTTATATGACAAACCCATTTTATTCTTGAAATTTTTATAAATTTTATTATATCCGATTCCTTGAAAAAATGAGAGAGTTTTAAGTTTGATATCTTTGTTAGATTCCGCCAACTTGTTACCCACCAATATGTTTCGCTCCAAAATCTTTTTTTTTTCTCCATTTGCCATGCTTTGAATAAATAAGTCACAGGATTTATTATTAAAGAGGTATAGAGCACTCAGTTTGGTATTTCTTTTAATTAGGCTTGATATGTGGTTTCTTAGCAAATCAAAGAAACATTGAGTGATTGCTATCAAGATTTCTGCAGCGTTATCATTAATGGTATTAAAATAGATGCCAGTTAGTTATCCCTTTTAAACCTATTTTCGTACTATTCTACACAACGAATTTACAATTCGACGTTATTACTCTTCGTCCAAGTATGCACATGCATTTTGTCGATTAAGAGTATTAAAATGGATGCCAGTTAGTCATCCCTTTTAAACCTATTTTTGTACGATTCTACACTACGAATTTAAAATTCGACATTATTACTCTTCGTCCAAGTATGCACATGCATTTTGTCGATTAATGGTATTAAAATGGATACCAGTTAGTCATCCCTTTTAAACCCATTTTCGTACTATTTTACACAACGAATTTACAATTCGACATTATTACTCTTCGTCCAAGTATGCACATGCATTTTGTCGATTAATGGTATTAAAATGGATACCAGTTAGTCATCCCTTTTAAACCTATTTTCGTACTATTTTACACAACGAATTTACAATTCGACATTATTACTCTTCGTCCAAGTATGCACATGCATTTTGTCGATTAATGGTATTAAAATGGATACCAGTTAGTCATCCCTTTTAAACCTATTTTCGTACTATTTTACACAACGAATTTACAATTCGACATTATTACTCTTCGTCCAAGTATGCACATGCATTTTGTCGATTAATGGTATTAAAATGGATACCAGTTAGTCATCCCTTTTAAACCTATTTTCGTACTATTTTACACAACGAATTTACAATTCGACATTATTACTCTTCGTCCAAGTATGCACATGCATTTTGTCGATTAATGGTATTAAAATGGATACCAGTTAGTCATCCCTTTTAAACCTATTTTCGTACTATTTTACACAACGAATTTACAATTCGACATTATTACTCTTCGTCCAAGTATGCACATGCATTTTGTCGATTAATGGTATTAAAATGGATACCAGTTAGTCATCCCTTTTAAACCTATTTTCGTACTATTTTACACAACGAATTTACAATTCGACATTATTACTCTTCGTCCAAGTATGCACATGCATTTTGTCGATTAATGGTATTAAAATGGATACCAGTTAGTCATCCCTTTTAAACCTATTTTCGTACTATTTTACACAACGAATTTACAATTCGACATTATTACTCTTCGTCCAAGTATGCACATGCATTTTGTCGATTAATGGTATTAAAATGGATACCAGTTAGTCATCCCTTTTAAACCTATTTTCGTACTATTTTACACAACGAATTTACAATTCGACATTATTACTCTTCGTCCAAGTATGCACATGCATTTTGTCGATTAATGGTATTAAAATGGATACCAGTTAGTCATCCCTTTTAAACCTATTTTCGTACTATTTTACACAACGAATTTACAATTCGACATTATTACTCTTCGTCCAAGTATGCACATGCATTTTGTCGATTAATGGTATTAAAATGGATACCAGTTAGTCATCCCTTTTAAACCTATTTTCGTACTATTTTACACAACGAATTTACAATTCGACATTATTACTCTTCGTCCAAGTATGCACATGCATTTTGTCGATTAATGGTATTAAAATGGATACCAGTTAGTCATCCCTTTTAAACCTATTTTCGTACTATTTTACACAACGAATTTACAATTCGACATTATTACTCTTCGTCCAAGTATGCACATGCATTTTGTCGATTAATGGTATTAAAATGGATACCAGTTAGTCATCCCTTTTAAACCTATTTTCGTACTATTTTACACAACGAATTTACAATTCGNACTTCAAAAATTAAAAAAAAAAAACTCTATACAAGTTTTAATTTAAATATTTAATATGATGAAGGAAATTTCGATTTCATTTTTAAAAGTTCCTTACATTGAGGTTCCAAGTGAGATGTATTTATTTTAAGGAAAGAGGCTGAATGTTTGTCTGTTAGTCTACTTCTGAAATAATTTTTTCTTGGGTTCATAGTTGAAAACACTTGTTCACATATATAAGATGAAGCAAACATAGCACTGATTTTCTGGGCGTGCAATATTAAATTTGGGAAACTAGGTTTTGGTAATGATTTGTTAAACTCTAACTTTGGCATATTTAGAAACAACTACTTCAGATGGCGCCAAACTACGGCTATTCTATAAAGAACATTTGCTTTCAACATTTTACCAATTGAAGCTGCCTATTTCCATCAATTTATGTTTTGTAGAACAAAAATAGAGAAAGTAAAAACATCATCAATACTTTGTTAAAAAAGTAAGAACAAAAATAGGTTTGAACAAAGTAGACAAGAAAATGGATGTATCTTGTTTATATTCGTCACGGATCGGCAAGTTAAAATTATATCCGATGGGCCGGATAAAACCTTCAGGCGGGCCTTAGTTTGCCCATCCCTTCTCTAAGGTATCATGATAAAATTATAAAACTTTGCCACACTAACCAAATTTTATCGCACATTATTTAATAATATTTTATTGTTAATTAAGGCAAAATTATTACCAAAGTGCTGTTGCAAAAATAACCAGAATTTTGGGGATTCCTTAAGAAAATGGTAAATTTTATCATATTCTGGTAGTTTTTGGCCATACTCTTTATAGCGCAATTGTATTATGTCGATCTCATTTCGTACTTAAATTAATTTTAATCGGTTCACTAATTCGCGAATTATAAAAAAGAATATGAAAATTTTTACGTTTTAAATATGGCATAAATAAAATTCTTCACAACAGAAAATTCTGAAAAAATACGGTCGAAATAATTATAATATCTTTGAAGTATTTTATTATTGCTCTTAATAATAATTTTCAAGAAGTTTTGAGATTATTTGTGGGTGCGTGGTTCCTCCCAAGATCTGGATATTAAGTAGATATCGAATGAATATTACGCACAAGTACTTGCGACAAAGATAATATTAAATATAGCTTTCTGAAACAAAAGAAACCTAACAATTATGCATTGTCTCTCAAATATATCTTTTTGATAAAACCACTTAATGACGCCACTTTATATGACCGATAAGTAATATAAAATTCTACTTTATCTATTACTTAAATCAGACACGGGTGGTTTTTTGAACAATTTTTGTCATTATTTTCAATTCAAGAAATAAAAGATGAAGATCGCATTGGTTGCCGCAGTTTGCTTAGTTTTGGTATGTAGTTTTGTTATCAAAATATGCATTGAATTTTTTCAACCATTTATTAATGTTGATACAGGAGATTAAATAGATTTCACTATTCTTTTTTTTTTTTTTAATTTTTTTTTGTGCTTTTTTTATTTTTTTTTTGTTAGATACTGATTATGCAAAAAGGGATTATGATAGAAATTCGTACACAAAATATTCAAAGCAATGGAAATTCAAATTAAATCAAAATTAATGTATTATTTAAAAAAAAAAAAAAAAAANAAAAAAAAAGAATTCTAAACTTGGAATAGAAAAAAAAAAGAATTTTCTTTTTACCAAAATTAAATTTCTATCAGGACAGTTTGGTTAAAAACAAAATAGTTCAGAAAATAAAAAGGAGTCAATTTTATTTTATTTTATAATCGTCAAAGATGAACAGCCGGCCCAAATTCGAGTTAACAACTACCGATTTTTAACTCCGTAGCCAACCAAGAAGACAAGGGAACTCGTGGATCAAGTATTAGGCGTAGCGGCAAACTTATGAGAAATTCACCTTAGAGGAGGACTTTTTTGATGCAATTAATCTACATTTGCATTACATGGTGAGAAAAACCTCCCACTGTTAGCCTAATGGCAAGGGGTTGACGAATCTAACCCAAGATTCGTCAACCACTGACGATATTTAACGTCAGGGCTAGGTTCGGTGGCGTGGAATTCGTATCAACTAGCCATCCCTGGGATTCGAGCCTAGTTCACCTCAATGAGAAAGAAGTGCTCTATCCTCTAAGGCACCGTGGTTCCATGGACAAAAATCACAATATAATTAAAAGTACTTAAATTATGTTGCTAAAAATTGTTTTTTGGCTTGAAAATTAAATTGTTATAGTACAATCTTTAGCTCATGCATTTTTCTTTAACAATAATATTTTTTTAAATTAAGGTTTCCTTGTTGTAGTTGTAGTCAATTTACGTCACACTAGAGCTGCACGATGGGCTATTGGCGACGGTCTATGATCCGAAGACATGCCATCACAATTTTGATCCTCTGCAGAGGGCATGGCACCCCTGCTTCGGTAGCTCGACGACATGCACGCGAAGTCGAGCACTTCACGGTAGAACAGTTTAACGAAGATCAACACCCTCGGTCCTTACGCAGACTGATCTAAGTGGTCACCCACCCTCACAGTGACCGTAGCCAGTTATGCTTGACTTCGGTGATCTGCTGGAAACCGTTTTAACGATCAGTCCACTGCGGAACTTTTTTCTGTTACGAATCGGCAGCTAAAATTTTTATTTTTTAGAATTCTCTTTCGGAAACAAAAAATCTTAAACAGTTGACTAAGTTTTCCTTTAAACCCTGAATTGCCATTGATGGTGTCACCAAAAAAACAAGAAGCGCATCCTCTGCCTTGAATCTCATGATTTCAAGCAGGCTTGGTGATATTGGCTTGGCATATGTAACAACAACAGATTTTTGTTTCAATTACAAGAATTATGTTTTCTTTTACCAGAAATGTCATTACCGTCCAGAACGGTAATTTAACCAGACTGTTTTCTTCCGAGCATAATTAATATGATTTTAATGCATAAATTGTCTTGTGCAGGTGGCAGTTGTCGCTGCTGAGAATGCAAAACAACGGCCCACCAGGAGACCTATAAAGAGATGCAATGACGGAGATGATTGTGCTGATGACGAATGCTGTGTGGGAGTTTTGTTCTTAAAAGGCACCTGTCGCCAACGACTTGGAGAAGGTGATATATACCTATTTTTNAACCAATTATATTCTGTTTTTATAAGTATAATAAAGATTTTTTGCTCTTTTTAAGGGCATTAGTTGAGATTTTTTAGGTCATCAAAATCCGGGCTCCATTACCATCCTGTACGGTAATGTATCCAGAATGATTTTTTGGAACATAACTAATAAAATTTTAATGCATAAATTGTGTTGTGCAGGTGGCAGTTGTCGCTGCTGAGAACGCAAAACAACGACCCACCAGGAGACCTATAAAGAGATGCAATGACGGAGATGATTGTGCTGATGACGAATGCTGTGTGGGAGTTTTGTTCTTAAGAGGCACCTGCCGCCAACGACTTGGGGAAGGTGATATATACCTATTTTTAAATTTTAAATTATGATTTAATCATTTTAAGATTGTTGTGAAGCATTACTTTAGAAGCGAATGAATTCTTGAAAGACGATATGAATACACTGTTAGAAATTTCTCGGGAAAAAATATTGAATAACAATTTATTTAACATATTTTATTCCACCATATACAAACACTAAAGTTAAACAACTATAAAAAAGTTGGTATTCAAACTGTTCACTGAGAGAACAACTGTTTCAATATATTAACTGCTTTTACCTAATACAGTAAAACCACCAGAATTTTATCGCACAAAGTAGGCCCAACTAAGGAAGCCACTTAGTTCCTTATAGATGGGTACATATTATAGCCGAAATTGCTAATCTGTCAATCTCATGACTCATCATAAATCAATCATCAATCTCATGACAGAACGAGGGGTCAAGTCTCAGTTTTAAAACCACACTATTTCGCCCTTTTCTGTTCAATAGAGGAAGAATTTCCAGTGTCCTGCAATCCACAATATGTGACTCTGGCTTATTAGAATACGATATTCTCATTTACCCATAAATGGCAGCACCGTAAATCTGCTAAATTATCTCCAATGTCCAGTTGAATTTGTTTTTGTGCTGTTTTGAAACTATGGTAGTTGTAAATGGTGAAAATTTCATGATAGTTGTAAATTGTTTCAAAGCCGTTAAGGTAAAAAATGTTCTTTACCGTAAACTTTAGGGTTAATTGGATGGACAGACTGCTGCCAGAAATGTTAAATAATTTTAATAAGAAAATTCTAGTAGTGTATTATAATATGGTTAGGCTATTAAATTGTTCTTTTCGAAACAAGTGTGATTAAGATTACAAATAGAGAAATATCAATCTACCAGCTTCCTTTTTCTACTTATTTCACCCGAACTTTCCATAAAGTTTTCCAAAATTCAGATAAATAAACCTTCTTAAGCTATAGAATACTACTTGAAGCATTAGAACCCTATTTCTAGAGTTATTGACTAGCATTATTGGTTAAATATTTACTTTTAATATAAGACTCATTTTACTTATTTTCCCGTGCAAATGCTTTATTAAATGACAGCTAATTAATTAAAAATAAAACTTTTTAAAACATTAGTTTCGCAGGAATTATTCGACCAATTTCACTTAAATTTTGTGTTTTGCTACATAAAAGTACGTTTTTTAAAATAATTTAAAAAATTGCATTGCAATTACATACATTATGCAAAATTACATACTTTATAATGACGTAGAAATACATACCTGAGAATTAAATTTTTTTGACCATTATTAAAAAAAATAATAATAAAAAAATAATAAATATTTACTTAAAATTTTTTTTTTGTGAAGAATTGTCTTTGGATAAGCAATTTTTATATTTGTGTGCAAACAGTTTTCAAAAGTTTTCGCTTCAAAAGCTCTCGAGATATGACGAAATACTCAAAAAATGAAATTAACACTAAGGGGTCTTAACATTATGGGAAATTTTGTAGTTGCTTAATTGATTGAACAATTTTGGAAAAAATTGTTGAATTGTTACTGTTATATAAATAATCCTTATTATTGAAAACACAGTTCTATTCTAAAGGTAAAGAGAATCTATTTGATATCTTTAAGCAAAATATATTGAGATCATTAAGAAAGTATTTTAGAATTTCATTTGATATATGGTAAATGGGTCCAAATTTTGTGCCTTTTATCATTTAATTCCTAAGTTCTAAGTTTTCTATAGTATTTAAATTACCAGTAATAATATGTTTGTGATGTTTATCAACAAAATCGAAATATTTCTCTTCTTTACAGTGACATTCACAATCGGATGCATTATTCCTCCCTAAATATTTGCTAATATCATTATAATTAAATATAGTTCTACCAATATATTTATCATATCTAAAGCTTTAAACTATGTTAAAATCTCTTAATTTAAATAATTTTTTTAAATTTTCAATAATATTATGAAATTTGATTTTATCGAAAATAGGGTTTAGAAAGTTAATAACAAAATATTAATTATCAAAATTTTTCTTTTTATTAGGGGAAAATTTAATCATTTTAGCTTTTACAAGATCGAAACAAAGAATTTTGAAGGGTTAATTAATAAAATAAAAGTTAATAATAAGATCTTGAAGTTTATACACATCATTATTTTTAAAGGAAAAAACAAAATCTTTCATTGGTTTAATATTATTATGTTTATTAAAATCTTTTTTCATATTAGAAATAAAATTTTCATTTAGTTTGTCACTGTTACGAGAGATTTTTTACTTCTAGATCCCCGTTTACCTCGATTTGAACGCTTATCTTTAATATGAAAAAGTGAATAAATTGAGGAGTCTTTAAAGTTAATCTGTGTATGTTGGAAGGTATCCTTCAGCCCATAGAGCAAAATTGTTTTGTATAAAAGCATGCAGTAATTTTCCTTTCTAAAATCCAAATCTTCTACTATATCTAAAATATTGATTTCGACTCTGTTAAAATTATGTTCTCTAAAATGATACAATTCCAGGTTATTGATAAGTTTATTACTGTTTATGTCAGAACGATGTTGATTAATTCGAATAATAAGCGAGTTACGGGTTTGCCCAACATATTGCATGCTACAAAAACCACAGGTTAACATATAAATAACATTTTTCATTTTACAAAAAGATTTGGATCTATTGTTATGATGGATTGTTTGTTTTTGTCAATAATAGGCCAAGTTCTGCATCTTTTATTATCACACGCCGGGTATTGAATGTAAATCAAAAAATCGTTTGCTTTATCTTTTGCTTTCAGAGTAGCAGGATGTCGATCCGAAGGTCCCCTCGGAATTAGAGACCTCGTACCGGGTACAACATGAAGAATAATTCAAATATTGAACATATTTTTTTCCAGGCATTTAATTATTATAACTTTTTAAATCCATAAAAATAGGCTTATAGAGCATCGTCCCAAACACACGTCCATGTTTTCTCTACATTTTGAATTTAGTTTGAGAGTTCTATTTATTTGCAGCTTAAGCGCAATAAATAAAACTTATTGTTTTTTTTAATTTTTTTCCTTTTGTATTTATTTATTATGATGTGTATCTCTCTCTTTCTCTCTCTCTCTCTATACATACATATATATGTAGCATATGTAACATAAAAAGCTTCTATTAATCTTTTTATGTTAGTTTCTTTGCTATAAAACAACTCCTACTTTATTCCTAATTAATTATTCTATTCGAAATACTTTCTCACACTTTTAAAAGCCACATCCTGTTCTTAAATCTATTTTTGGCTCAACTATGCATTTAATTAAGAGCAGGACATATTTCCCTTTGCTCTGTGTGGGAAACGCTCGATCTCTTTCATAAACCAATAGTAATCCTTGGGATTTCCCTTTTCCCCTCAAATATAATAAAATAGAGGGAAATTCCTTTGCTACTTTCCCTAAGATAAAAACTTAAGCACACAGTTTTTGAGTGCGA